GCCCAAGAAAACTCTAGAATGGTGGTAGATTCAGAACAGGGCTGTGCTCTGCCGTCCAGCTCTCCCACCACCTGAGAAAACTCCAGAATGTGGCCGTATTCTGCTGTCCCGCTCTCCCACCGCCCAAGAAAACTCCAGAACGAGGCTGTGTTCCACCATCCGGCTCTCCTACCGCCCGAGAAAACTCTAGAATGGTGGTAGATTCAGAACGTGGCTGTGCTCTGCCGTCCAGCTCTCCCACCGCCCGAGAAAACTCCAGAATGGGGCCACATTCTGCTGTCCCACTCTCCCACCGCCCGAGAAAACTCCAGAACGAGGCTGTGTTCCGCCATCCGGCTCTCCCACTGCCCGAGAAAACCCCAGAACGGGGCCATATTCTGCCGTCCCGCTCTCCCACCGCCCGAGAAATCTCCAGAATGGTGCTAGACTCAGAACAGGGCTGTGCTCTGCCGTCCAGCTCTCCCACCACCTGAGAAAACTCCAGAATGTGGCCGTATTCTGCTGTCCCGCTCTCCCACCGCCTGAGAAATCTCCAGAACGTGGCTGTGCTCCGCCCGTCCGGCTCTCCCACCACCCGAGAAAACTCCAGAATGGGGCCGTATTCTGCTGTCCTGCTCTCCCACCACCCAAGAAAACTCCAGAACGAGGCTGTGTTCCACCATCCGGCTCTCCCACCGCCCGAGAAAACCCCAGAACGGGGTCGTATTCTGCCGTCCGGCTCTCCCACCGCCCGAGAAATCCCCAGAATGGTGCTAGACTCAGAACGTGGCCGTGCTCCGCCCGTCCGGCTCTCCCACCGCCCGAGAAAACTCCAGAATGTGGCTGTATTCTGCTGTCCCGCTCTCCCACCGCCCAAGAAAACTCCAGAATGGGGCCATATTCTGCCGTCCCGCTCTCCCACCGCCCAAGAAAACTCCAGAACGAGGCTGTGTTCCACCATCCGGCTCTCCCACCACCCGAGAAAACTCCAGAATGGGGCCATATTCTGCTGTCCCGCTCTCCCACCGCCCAAGAAAACTCCAGAACGAGGCTGTGTTCCGCCATCCGGCTCTCCCACCGCCCGAGAAAACCCCAGAACGGGGCCATATTCTGCCGTCCGGCTCTCCCACCGCCCGAGAAAACTCCAGAATGGTGCTAGATTCAGAACGGGGCCGTGCTCCGCCCGTGCGGCTCTCTCCCCTCGCCGCCGCCGCCGCCGCCGGGCCGCCGGAGAAGCAAAAACAAGAGTCGCGCTTGGGGCGCCCCCGCGGCGGCCGTCACCTCGGGGACGAGAAGAAGCGCTCCACGTGGCCCGAGAGCGCGTCCCAGTGCTTCCAGAGCAGGGCCAGGAGGAGCACGAGGGCCAGCGTGCTGCACGTCCGGCTGCGGGTCTTCATGAGCGGGACCACGCAGTTGGCCACGGTGGACACGAACACCAGCAGCACGGCCATGACGGCCAGCAGGATGTTGATGAGCTTGCCCAGCAGGTTGCGCGCCGTGGCGCTCTCCAGCCCCTCCAGCTGCACCACCTGCTGCTGCTGCTGCTGCAGCTCCATCTTGGAGATGCGCGTCTGGCAGGCCTCCAGCGCCTCCTGCGGGCAGAGCGCGGCGGCGTCAGGGCGCGACGGGCGGGGGCGGGGCCTCGGCCCCGGGTCCGTTTTTTTTTTTTTCTTTCTGCCTCCCTCTCGTCTTTTTTTTTTTTTTTTTTTTTTTCTCTGTTTTTTTTTTTCCCCTCTGTTTTTTGTTGTTGTTGTTGTTGTTATTTTTTTTTCTTGGGAGAGACAGAGTCTCGCCCCCAGTCGCCCGGGCTAGAGCGAGCGCCCGTGGCGTCGGCCTCGCTCACGGCAGCCTCCAGCGAGCCTCCCGCCTCCGCCTCCCTCCCGGGTAGCTGGGACGACAGGTGTGCGCCGCCTCGCCCGGCTTGTATTTTTTTTTTTTTTTTGTGGGGGGAGAGACAGAGTCTCGCCCCCCAGTCGCCAGGGCTAGAGCGAGCGCCCGTGGCGTCGGCCTCGCTCACGGCAGCCTCCAGCGAGCCTCCCGACTCGGCCTCCCTCCCGGGTAGCTGGGACGACAGGCGTGCGCCGCCACGCCCTGCTTGTATTTTTTTTTTTTTTGTATATATATTTTTTTTAGTTGGCCGATTAAGAGACCCCGTCTCTACTAAAAATAAAGAAAGAATTAATCGGCCAACTAAAAATATATAAAGAAATTAGCCGGCGTGGAGGCGCATGCCTGTCGTCCCAGCACTCGGGAGGGAGGCCGAGGCGGAGCGTCGCTCGAGTCGGGAGTCAAAACCAGCTAGCAAGAGCGAGCTCCCCCGTCTCTGCTAAAATATAGAAAGAAATTAATCGGCAACTAAAAAAATATATATACAAAAAAAAAAAAATACAAGCAGGCGTGGCGCGCCGCCTGTCGTCCAGCTACCGGGAGGGAGGCGAGTCGCGGAGGCTCGCTGGAGCTGTCGTGGAGCGAGGCGACGCACGGGCGCTCGCTCTAGCCTGGCGACTGGGGCGAGACTCTGTCTCTCCCCCCAAAAAAAAAAAAATAACGAAAAAAAACCAAAAAAAACAGAGGAAAGGAAAAAAACAGAGAAAAAAAAAGCAGAAAAAAAAAACAGAAAAAAAAAACGGACCGGGCCGAGCCCGCCCCAGCCCCTCCCCGCCCGTCGCGCCCTTGACGCCGCCGCGCTCTGCCCGCAGGAGCGCTGGAGGCCTGCCAGACGCGCATCTCCAAGATGGAGCTGCAGCAGCAGCAGCAGCAGGTGTGCAGCTGGGGAGGGCTGGAAGCGCCACCGCGCGCACCTGCTGGCAAGTCATCACATCCGTGGCCGTCATGGCCGTGCTGCTGGTGTTCGTGTCCACGTGGCCAACTGCGTGGTCCCGCTCATGAAGACCCGCAGCCGACGTGCAGCACGCTGGCCTCGTGCTCCTCCTGCCCTGCTCTGGAAGCACCTGGACGCGCTCTCGGCCACGTGGAGCGCTCCTTCTCGTCCCCGAGTGACGGCCGCCGCGGGGCGCCCCAGCGCGACTCTTGTTTTCCTTCTCTGGCGGCCGCGGCGCGGCGAGGGGAGAGAGCCGCACGGCGGAGCACGGCCCCGTTCTGAATCTAGCACCATTCTGGAGTTTTCTCGGGCGGTGGAGAGCCGACGGCAGATATGGCCCCGTTCTGGTTTTCTTCGGCGGTGGGAGAGCCGGATGGCGGAACACAGCCTCTTCTGGATTTTCTTGGGCCGGTGGGAGAGCGGACAGCAGAATATGCCCCATTCTGAGTTTCTTCGGGGGGTGGGAGAGCCGGAGTGGAACACAGCCTCGTTCTGGAGTTTCTTGGGCGGGTGGGAGAGCGGGACGGCAGAATATGGCCCATTCTGGAGTTTTCTTGGCGGTGGGAGACGGGACAGGCAGAATACAGCCACATTCTGGAGTTTTCTCGGCGGTGGAGAGCCGGACGGGCGGAGCACAGCCACGTTCTGAGTCTAGCACCATTCTGGGATTTCCGGCGGTGGAGAGCCGGATGGTGGAACACAGCCTCGTTCTGGAGTTTTCTTGGGCGTATGGCCCCATCTGGAGTTTTCTTGGCGTGGTTGGGAGCGGACAGCAAATACAGCCACATTCTGGAGTTTTCTCGGCGGTGGAGAGCCGGACGGGCGGAGCACGGCCACGTTCTGAGTCTAGCACCATTCTGGGATTCTCGGCGTGGAAGAGCCGGACGCAGAATACGACCGTTCTGGGTTTTCTTGGGCGGTGGAGAGCGGATGGGTGGAACACAGCCTCGTTCTGAGTTTTCTTTGGTGGTGGGAGAGCAGGACAGCAGAATACGGCCCATTCTGGATCTCGGGTGGTGGAGAGCCGGAGGGCGACACACCACGTTCTGGAGATTTCTCAGGCGGTGGAGAGCGGGACAGCAGAATACGGCACATTCTGGATTTTCTCAGGTGGTGGAGAGCTGGACGGCAGAGCACAGCCCTGTTCTGAGTCTAGCACATTCTGGAGATTCGCGGGCCTCTTGGGAGAGCGGACGGCAGATATGCCCCGTTCTGGGTTTTCTCGGGCAGTGGGAGAGCGGATGCGGAACACAGCCTCGTTTCGGAGTTTTCTCGGGCGGGTGGAGAGTGGGACAGCAGAATGTGGCCCATCTGGAGTTTTCCGGGCGGTGGAGAGCTGGACGGCAGAGCACAGCACGTTCTGAATCTACCACATTCTAGAGTTTTCTCGGCGTAGGAGAGCCGGATGGTGGAACACAGCCCGTTCTGGAGTTTTCTTGGGCGTGGGAGAGCGGGACAGCAGAATACGCGCACATTCTGATGTTTCTCAGGTGGTGGAGAGCTGACGCAGAGCACAGCCCTGTTCTGAATCTACCACCATTCTAGAGTTTTCTTGGCTGGGAGAGCCGACGGGCGCACAGCCCGTCGGAGATTTCTCGGGCGATCCC